CCGCCTCAGCCTTCCGAGTAGCTGGAATTACAGGCATGCACTACCACACCCGGCTGATTTCTTGATTTCTCGTAGAGATGAGGTCTCGCTGCCCAGGCGGGTCTCGAACCCGCGGGCTTGTTGTTGTTTTTTAAATTTATTTATTGTAGAGACAAGGGCTCACCAAGTTCCCAGGCTGGTCTCAAACCCACAGGCTCAGGTAATCCTCTCGCCTCGGCCTCCCAAAGTGCTGGAATTATAGGCTTGAGCCACTGCGCCTGGCCTGTCTTGTTTTTAAAATAGTTCTCTATCAGGTGTGTGGCAGGGTGCTGTAATTCCAGCACTTAGGCCAAGACTGGAGGACTGCTTGAGTCCAGGAGGTCAAGACCAAGCCTGGGGAACATAGTGAGACCTTGTCTCTATAAAAAAATGAAAAAATAGCCAGAATTGGTGGCTCAGCCTATAATCCCACGCTTTGGGAGACTGAGGTGAGTGGATTGCCTGAGCCCGTGTGTTCAAGACCCGCCTGGGCAACTTGGTGAGACCTCATCTCTACAATAAATTAAAAAATTAGCTGGGCATGGTGGTGCGTGCCTATGGTTCTAACTATTGGGATGCTGAGGTGGAAGGATTGCCTGAGCCTAGCAGGTCGAGGCTGTGGTTGCCATGAGTGTGCCATTGCACCCCAGCCTGGGCAACAGAGTGAGACTCTGACTCAAAAAAAAGAAAAAATTAGCCAGGTGTGATAGTATGCATCAGTAGTCCTGCTAGTTGGGAGGCTGTTGTAAAAGGATTGCTTGAGCCCAGGAGGTCAAGGCTGCAGTGAACTGTGGCTATACCACTCTACTTCAGCCTAGGGACAGAGTAAGATCCCAACTCAAGAAAAAAATACTTCCCAAAGTTGATGTACACCATTCTTTTTTTTTGAGTTGGAGTCTTACTCTGTCACCCAGGCTGGAGTGCAGTAGCACGCTCATGGCCACTGAAGCCTTGACCTGCTGGGCTCAGGCAGTCCCTCCACCTCAGCCTCCAGAGTAGCTGGAACTATAGGCATGCACCACCATACCTGGCTAATTTTTGTATTATATGTATTTTCCTTTTCTCTCATAGATTGTGCTTCTTGGTCAGACCTCGCATCAAGAACATGCGATACATTGCCAGTGAGTGGGCCATGGTACTACATGTCACTAAGACCTGAAAAGGGTGGGCAAGGTTTAAGGGCCTTGGCCATAAGACTCCTGCAATAAGAATTGTTGGAGTTGGCCATAGCACTTGCAGAGGATATCTGCTTCTCTGCTTCCAGTCTAACAAACGGCCCATGCTTACTGGGCGGCATTCCTTCTCTTTGTAGATCTCGTCAATGCTGACAAAGTGGCTGGCCGAACTCGCAGGTACAAAGTGATCTTCAGCCCTCAGAAGGTGAGTTTGGATCCTCGCAGGAGTGGGATAAGGTAGAACAGGACTAAGGCTGGGCAGGGGTAAGGTGCCATTTCCTTGTCTTGGTCCGTTTTCTGTTGCTTTAACAGAATACCTGAATTGGGTCATTTTTGATGACTAGAAACCGTGTTTAGCTCATGGTTCTGGGGAGACTGGGAAATCCAAGAGCACAGTGCCAGCATCAGGCAAGGGTGGTCCCATGGCAGGAGAGTGGAAGATGAAAGCAGTCATGAGACCCAGCCATGCTGACTTTGTAACAACTCACTCCTGTGATAACAACTTTAATACATTCATGAGGGCTTCTCCTTCATGTCCCAATCACCTCTTTTTTTTTTTTTTTTTTTTTGAGTTGGAGTCTCACTCTTTTGTCCAGGCTGAAGTGCAGGTGCATGCTCACAGCCACCACAGCCTCAACCTGCTGGGCTCAGGTGATCCTTCTGCCTCAGCCTTCCAAGTAGCTGGAACCACAGGCGTGCACCACTACAACTGGCTAATTTATTGATTTATTGTAGAGATGAGATCTTACCAAGTTGCCCAGGCTGGTCTTGAACCTATAGACTCAGGCAATCCTCTCACCTCTGCCTCCCAAAGTGCTGGGATTACAGCTGTAAGCCACTGTGCCTAGCCCCAGTCACTTCTTATTAGGCCCCAGCTCCCAACACTGTTGCCTTGGGGACTATGTTTCCAACACATGAACTTTTGAGGGATGCATTCAACCCACAGCACTCCCTCAAAACAAGTTATCTGTGGCTGAACTAAATATCTGTACCTGTCTTTTCATTAATGTATCCCTGATTGTTTAGCAGAGGGTCTGTCGTCAAATTGCCCCAAATCAAGTACAGTGGAATTGTGATCAATTTCTTTAAATGTAAAGCTTCACACACTTTTGAAGTAGAACCTTTCATGTATCTCTGCTAACCCGAATTCCAGTATAGTAATGGTGCATGTTGTTACAGCTTTTCAGTGACTTTCTCCCTGTATCCCTGTATCCTTTTAGCAATAAATACAAAGCTGGGCTGGGTGCGGTGGCTCAAGCCTGTAATCCCAGCATTTTGGGAGGCCAAGGCAAGAGGATTGCCTGAGTCCAGGGGTTCAAGACCAGCCTGGGCAACTTGGTTAGACCTCATCTCTACAATAAATCAAAAATTCGCTGGGTGTGGTCATGTGCACCTGTAGCTCCAGCTACTTGGAAGGCTAAGATGGAAGGATCTCCTGGGCCTAGCAGATTGACGCTGCAGTGGCCGTGGGTGTGCCACTATACTCCAACCTGGGTGACAGAGTAAGACTCCGACTCAAAAATAATAATAATAAATACAAAGCTGGGTACAGTGTCTCACGCCTGTCATCTGAGTACTTGGGAGGCTGAGTGAGGCAGGAGGATTGCTTGAGGCCAGGAGTTTGACACCAGCCCACGTAGCCATACCTTGTCTCTACAAAAAAGAAAAAGAAAAAAAAATTTACCTGGGTGTGGTGGTGCATGTCTGTAGTTCCAGCTACATGGGAAGGGTCAAGGAGGGGATCATTTGCATCCAGGAGTTCGAGGATGCAGAGCCATTATCCTGCCACTTCACTCTAGTCGAGTGAGACCCTGCCTCAATAAATAAATAAACAAACAGGCCAGGCATGATGGCTCACACCTGTAATCGCAGCACTTTGGGAAGCAGAGGCAAGAGGACTGTCTAAGCTCAGAATTTGAGACCAGCAACTTGGCGAGACCTTGTCTCTACAATAAATAAAAATAATTAGCCGGGCGTGGTGGCGGGCACCTGTAGTTCCAGCAACTTGGAAGGCTGAGGCGGAGGGATCGCCTGAGCCCAGCAGGTCAAGGCTGTGGTGGCCATGAGCGTGCCACTGAACTCCAGTCTGGGCGACAGAATGAGACTCCAACTCAAAATAAATAAACAAACAAACAAATCTTCATCCCCCCACCCTTACCTCCCATGCTTATCCAAGGGATGTGCCTGGGCTGCCCCTGGGTTACTAGAACCATGTGACCATACATTGGAAAAGCCTCTTCTTGCACAGGAAGGAAGCTTAGAGACCATTTTACTCCACTCAACCTTGAGCAGCTGAGAGAAGAGAAACCCACACTCACACGGTGAGTTAGCCTCGCCAGGCTAGGGCTCTTCCATCTTCAGCTTAGTTATTGCTGTGAGTCTCTGGATACCCATTGCATGATCTTTGTTTCCTGATGCCCTCGAGCTGCCTCCTACCTCCACATCAGCTAGGTACATCGTAGGTGCAGCCTTGGGCTCAGTGGTGGGAAGAAAGGAATAATGCTCCAAGCCTTGACATGGTCTCCCGTGGCCTGCCCTAAGTAGTACATGCCACGCTTGGAGCAGGTAGAAACTGAGGTTAAGAGAACAGAGGTCTATTCCTTTTTAATTTTTTTCTAAGACAATTCTTTTTTTTTTTTTTTTTAGTCTCACCCAGACTGGAGTGCAGTGGCCGCTCCCGGCCACTGCAACCTCGACCTGCTG